AGCATAGTGATTTTAGTTAAAGATCTTTCCAGATAATAAAAATAAGGGGAAGAATTGTGTAAACATACAGATCTTTAGAGCAGTGGTGCACTACTGAATATACTAAAATCTTGCAAAAAACGACACAGCATCTGCAATTATAACACTGGTGATTATTTCTGTCCAGCTCTCTAGTTTTGTGTAATAATACTGGCATATTTAATGCTTACATTCTGAGACTTGCTGAAATCTCTCTCAGCCTGGCCTTGTCATGATGTTCAGTACTTCCAACTCCGACTGATACCACCTACCTTTGAGACTATTCTGTGAAGTCCTTGACAAATAAAGCGTACCTGTGACACTGAGAAGCAGCCCAAGCATCTTTATTTAAGGAAGGCTGGGGCTACTCTCACTGTTACTGTGGACTTCACAGACCAGCTTTCCCACATACCCTGTGCAGTAATGGTAAGATTTTTTCTGCCTGAGGGTCGAGGCCCAGGTGTGCTACTGAGTTGACATGGAGTGAGGAGGAACTGAGCACTTGCTGTTCCAATAAGGATCTTTTAGAGTCCATGTGCATATGAAATGGCCTCCACTATGCTTTGCAGATGCTCTTGTTACGCAGGATTGAGCGGGCAGAGCTTGGATGCTTCATGCAGAACAGTTGGGACAGACTGCTCAGCTTTGCATGATTGCTGAGCAGTGCAGAGTGTGCCAGGAGTAAAATAAATTAAGAAAATACCTTACACAGAGGAATGATAAAACTGAAAGCCCAGTAGAGCTGGGATTCTTTGGAAATTTGGAATGCAGCTGGAGAATGCTCACCCATTGTTTTATTGTGTATCTGCAAAAGACGGGTACTGGCAAAATAGAAACAAGTCAGAAGGTAATGTTCTGCTTTCTTTCTATTTATTTTACAGTTTTTACCCAACTCAGTAAAAACTAAACATGAAATTATGGAATTAAAACCTGGGAAGTTAGGTATTCTGCATAAAACTGAAACGTGATAGAGGAATTTTTACGTACAAGTACATTGTGCAAAAACATACAAGGATGACAAGATGCAAATTGTAGTAGTATCAGAAGTAGGAAGAGTTAAAGATCTCTCACCCCATGTGCAGTAAAGGCAAAAGGGAAGCTTACTGCTAAAGGAACCAGAGGTTCTCTGAGGTGCATTATTGGGAGGGAGAGATGCATAGGGGTGTGTGTATATGTATCTATACACACAAAACCTTCCATCTCTACAAGCTCTTTATTTGAACAAGCCTAATACTTGTAACTTATCTAGAAGAAGGTCTCAAAGACATGAATGAAAGAATGAATGATGCTGCCAAGACCTGCACTGTGACTGGTTTCCTTTGCAATTATGTAGTGCTTGGCAAACGTGACGATGAAAGTGTATGTTGTTGATCAGCATGGGATCATGTCTTTGTAACAGAGATGCTATGCTCCTGTAGAGCAAAATGATGGTGCTCTCCCTGGCTGTCTCCCAGCCAGCCCTGAGAGCCTACAATGAGAGGCTTTCCAAGCTGAGAAAACCATGTGAAGGGATATTTCTGCCACAACAAAAAAAAAAAAAAGCAAAAATAAAAAGCTTAATTCTGTTAAACAAAACCTCGAAGGTTTTTTGAAGGTTCTCTTCAGTATTTTGGGATTCAATCAGAATAGTTTTAGGGGGAAAAGAGCCAGTGTCCTGACATGAAGTAAAAATTGGAGATATCTAAAGGGAAGAAACTAAAGTGAGCTCAGCATTATCCCATAATGGACATTGCAAAAATGGGCTTAATTTTCTCTAGTCCTTATAGAATTAGTAGCCACTTGAAAGGCCAGTTTCAACTGAGAATTCAGGAGGGGGCAGATAAGCTTTACTGTGACATGTACCAACAACACATCACCTTCCAGTTGGAGAATGGGGGCTGTGTCTCAAGACAGAAAAAACCTGCTGAATTTTTGAGAGCAGTTGTAAACATAGAGAAGGGACAATCTCTTTCAGTCAATGGCTGCAGGTCTGAAATTTATGGCAGAATCCCCCAGCTGAACTGTTACATTTTCATTTCTAACTATTAGAAGATGATTCAGAAATAAGGGAAGAGAGGGCTCTCTGGGTAATAATGACTTCCATGTATATCACTTGGTCCATTTGAGTATCATTTCTTAATCATAAAGCACTCTCTCACTAGAAAAAGACACATCCATTTGGTTCTCATAAGCTGTCCAAACTTGGGATGCTAAGTATTGAGATTCAGATGGTGACTGGTATTTATTAGTACATATTAGTACAGTTCTGTCTTTCTTTTTAAGATCTGGCCCAAGAATGCAGTTTGGAGGGAGGACAGATATAGGTCATGTAACGAAGTAAGAGGGAGTATTTCTGCTCTGAGGCTGTAGATAAGCTGGCATATCCTGTTGATTTTTGAGGAGGAAAAAAGAACCTTGGGTTGCCTTTACAGTCATGTAAGATTAAGAGTTAAAAAACAAAACAAAACCCAAACCCAACCAATGAACAAAAAAAAAACAACCCAATCACTCCAGGTCTCCTGTATGTGGTCTACCAGCCTGGCACAACTCGGGTCTTTTGTGAGTGTAGTCAGTGGAGAGAAACTGCTGTTAAAGCTGACTTCTCCAGTCCTAAAGTCTGATTGCTTCTTGACACAGGAGAGAAGCACTGTATCATCCTTTTTTCTTGTGATTAGCACATTCTCATAGCCAGAATGGGGTGTCCTTGGAAAAAGACCTGGTGCAGGTTCCTGAGGTATCAGCATGGCAGTAAGGAGGTGATTCTCAGGTCTGTGTGGCCCTAGGATCTCCCTAACCAAGCAGAAGAGTATCTATTACTGCAGATCTAGATAGGAATTAGGATACAAAGAGCAAATATCAGCAAAATCCTTCTGCTGTGAGGCAGAGCTTTAAAACTGACCATGAAATTATGATATTCAGAGCCATAGGATAACCTTGGGTAAGACAGTTTGAAGCCCAGCTCTTGGTCCCAGCTTCTGCAGGTGAGCGCCCTTCCTGAACCTGCTACCACCTCCTCTAATGAACTGTATAGGTCTGGAAAGCATGAGCACCTGGGCAAAGTTAGATGTATCTCCTGACCTCAGGAAGAAATGAATATCTGGAAGTGAGCTCCATCTTGTACTTGGGGACAGGCTACAACTTCTTTGCATCTAGCTATGAGTGCAATATTACCTCTTGGGATTTGAAAAAAAGCAATTGTCAATGATAGAGCTGTGAAGTTATTCTTAGTGTTTCTTTTTCTTCCATGGCTTCAAAACCCCAGTAGAGGTAGGTGGACTGAAGCTCCTTGTGGATGTATCATGCTCCTTGCCAAGGGAGAAAAGGTCATCAGAGGTGAAAATGCTTAAAATAATTGTTGAATTTCCACTCAGTTGAGTAACATTTTATGCATAGCACTCTGGCCAAGTGTTACTCATCTGCCATTGGAGCTTACAAAATTATTTGTGGTATAGAAGTATATACCATTTGAGAACTGGTTATAGTCTGTAGGGTGTTATAAGGCAATGTCATCATTGTTGACTTCTGTCCTAGTTTTCTTCAGTGCCATGCTCTGATATGAGAATTGAATAGGTTCCAAATACACCCTTAGCTGAATGAAATGCTAGAGTTTAAGACTCAGTTCTCACTCATTAGTCAGCATACTCATGAATCCACAGACATTAATATATATTAAGCCAAGCCCAGAGTAATACAGATGGCAGTTCATTTGATGACAGTATCTTCCATAGTATTGCAATGATTATGTTAAAGCTTTTGTACATTTTTCAATGTACATGTACATGTATCAATAGTAGTTATGAGTGTAGAGCCTCACCACTGTTAAAACACATGTGCAATTTGTCATATACAGTAATTCTGAAATTTCTCAACAACTTCAGACACAGCCTTCCCCAAAACACATTTACAGATACTATCAATGATCCTGCAGAATGGCTCAATGCAATACCACTTTTTTTGCAATAATTGCTGAAAAATGACACAATAACATGTATGATTGCTCCCGTATCATAGAATCATAGAATGGTTTGGATTGGAAGGGACCTTAAAGATCATCTGGTTCCCACCCCCCCTGCCATGGGCAGGAACCCCTTCCACTAGACCAGGTTGCTCAAAGCCTCATCCAAACTGGCCTTGAACACTTCCAGGGATGGGGCATCCACAACTTCTCTGAGCAACCTGTTCCATTACCTTACCATCCTCATAGTGAAGAATTTCTTCCTTACTTCTAGTCTAAATCTACCCTCTTTCAGTTTAAAGCCATTATCCCTTGTCCTATCACTACCTGTCCTTGTAAAAAGTGCCTCTCCAGCTTTCTTGTAGGCCCCCTTCAGGTACTCAGAGGCTGCTGTAAGGTGCCCCCAGAGCCTTCTCTTCTCCAGGCTGAACAACCCCAACTCTCTCAGCCTGTCTTCGTAGGACAGGTGTTCCAGCCCTCGGATCATTTTTGTGACACTCCTCTGGACCCGCTCCAACAGTTCCATGTCCTTCTTATGTTGGAGGCCCCAGAGCTGAATGCAGTGCTCCAGGTAGGGTTGCCTTCCAGAAAATTGTCCAGATGAGATTTTGGGGGCAGGTGTTAACTGTGGAAACCTACTTAGTATTAAACGTACCTGTCTCGGTGCTACCGACTTTGGAGACGATACTTTTATATTTTTTTTTCTGGCCATTGTTCTTCACAAAAGACCTAATTGAAAATATCTGTCAAATCGTGTCTCTGGTTTCCCTCTTCTTCCCTCACCATTAATTGGACACGTATTGTGTTTGTGTGGGAAGGAAGGAGGCTCTGTAGCAGTATAGCAATATTGCTGGGAAAAGAACATTAAAATGGATAAAGGGATTTCCTAGTGGTATAAATACCTGCACACGACCTCCCTGTGCTCTGGAGCCCTCCTGTATATGTATATGCAGGTAAAAGCCTGGAAGAGATTTGAGCAGCCGTTAATCACGCAGGATCTGTTCTGTCAGAAAACAGGGGCAAGTGGCTCTTTTGCCTGTTGGAGGGTATGACTTGCCAAGCGTTTGCTTCATCTGACACCTTTGTACCCTTGAATTCTGACTCTTCGCCCTCTCTGCCTCTGATAATGCATCACAGCGCTGCAGAGTGCCTGCCGGTTTCTAACCATGCCACCAATGTTGTGTCTACAGGTACTTTTTAAAAATAATCTTGCTCTCAGTAACTCTCATTTGTAATGCTTTTGGATGATAGGTGTTCAAGTTCTGCAATACTTAGTGTTTGGTATCAATTCTATGTCAGATTGGGACTACGTTAAAGTAGAAACATTTTCACAAAGCTCTGTGTGATGAGTGAATCAGGACCGCCCAAATGTTTGTGTTTTAGCTAAATTTGTAGCTTTCTCTTAGTTTGTTACAAGATTAGGCTCAAGTATTCTACCAATTCATTAACTGAGAATGGATTCAAACCCTGTCACAGTTGTTATGGGTGTATAGTCTTCAATTACAAGTGTCATGTAAATTAATGGAAAGTTTGTTTATTATGTAATCACAATTTAAAATAATATAAATTGCTTTAAATAGGAAATGTATATAAAACAGGTCAGGTCTAAATATCATTTGGGGAAGCTTTCAGGAAGGAGAAACATTGCTTTACAAAGCATATTGTATGCTGCATCAAGACTAAGATTTAAGTGGGATGTTCCAAATTGGTGGCAGAAGTCTCATCCGTATTTTTTACTTTTCTCTATTTGTGTATATAATCCAATTAATTGCATTTGAATACTAGGACTATATAATCACTAAACTACCTGAGAGAGACACAGCAAGAGAAAGAGATTTTTCTTGCAGCCTTAAGCCTGCAGAAGTGGGATTCTGGAATACAGGAATCGTTGATAGAAAGCTTTCAGAAACAGAACAAGAAATAGATTTTATTTATTTGAAATTGCATTAAGGTAACAGTTTTATTTGGAGTCTTAGCGAGAAACTACCCTTCTCCTGAAGTGCATTGGTAATAAAACATTTTAATACTAAGAAAAAGCATGCAAGTAATGAAAACTAGGCATCGGTGAAAGATAACAGGATCTTCTACATTAAGCAGGAGACTCAAAATATCCGAATGCGGCTGTTGGTTAGCAGTGGTAGTAGGGAATAGGAGAATTTAAATTTTGTATGCGGCCAGATTTTAAGTATCTGTATCATACGAATATTTTCTAGATTCATCTGATTCATAATAAAAGCTATATATGGTGACAGCCAGCCAAAAGCATTTGCTCATCTGCATCAGATTTGGGGTTTGATATTTTGTAGTTACCACCCAAGAACAAATACCACTGTGGTCAGTGGGAATTTTGTTTGCAGGATCACATTTAGCAAATGACCCTGTGAGAATGAAGCAGTGACAGAGGGTGCTAACTATAATGAGTAAACATTTACAAACTTTGTACATAGATTCAGAAATTGTAAAAAACAATACCATTCTGGTGAAAGCATCTAAGGAGAATTTGTTCACAAAGTAGACATGAAAGAATTTTGAATAACGGCTTATGTTAAATGTCAAAATTTTTTTAAATGTATGTGACAATTCTGCATCACAAAACAGCAGTGAATATACTTCTGCTCAAATACTATACCATATCATAAAGCTGATGTTCTGCAGTATTGTCAATGCTTTAATTGTTATTATTTAATTTAAATAGCATCATCCTCACTATTTAGTTTTAAATCCCTATTAGCAAGTTGAAAATGTTATTTTTACGCATAAAAGTTATAGTCTATGAAATGTGAAATAATAGAAGAAAAAAAGAGCAGTAAATGCTTAGATCTTATCTCAACAGAGAAGTTGCATTGCTCTAAATGCATTAGTATCATTAATGAAATCTTTATTTTGGGTACATTTATACTAGCATAAGCATGCTTGTTTTAATAGATTTTATATCTGCATAAGTGTATCTAAACAGGACACTTTACTGTTATAATTACTGTTGTAAAAAACAGCAATTCTAATCCCTAAATAATGATATTGTTTTGAATAATTAGAATGTATGCTTTGAAGTGCAGTTTTACATACCTGAATGTTCACAAACATGAATTTTTAATCTTATACTTTCTATAGTTGTTAGAGAGGACAGTATATACATTTGTGTGCTTAGTTATGCATGAGAAACAGACGTATCTCTCATTTTGCATTCAGTTAAAAATTGCCTGATGCTTCAGGCACTGGCGATTACTGAGCACAGACCTGAAAGACCCCTCTGAAAACACTAGAGAGAAATTAATTCTGTGTTTGATGGTGCTGCTGATGGAAAATGTTGACTTAGGCCTAACTTTTTAGAAGAGCCTAAAGTCTATCATCCTGTTTTCCTACCACCCTGCCAAAGCACTCTGAAAAGTTTTTGGTGGCTTGGCACTTAAGGAAATGTGACTTCTGGATGCCTCAAACCAAATGTCCCAAACTGCTGCTTTTGGAAACCCAAATCCTTCCTTGATGCCTGTGTTCACTGTGGGGTTTGCACAACAGTGTAGCAAATCAATTTTCTGGGAACATAGAGCAAGTTTTTATGTAAGATTAAATGAAATGGTGTGTGGAAGTTGGGTGGGGAAGGGAACGTCTCTCCTCCTGGAGAGTTCAATGTTTCCCTTGCTCAGCAGTATATGTAAACCGGGTTATGTCCATAGCTTATACTAAAAACAATGCACCGAGACCACAGCATGACCATTTCTGGTCTTGGCTCAGAGTCTCTCTCACTGGCAGTCTTATCTGGTGCAACCTGGCCAAGTGTCTGGGCTTCCAGCAGTGTTAGCCTGATGGTTATGGCCCAGAGTTAAATGCTTACTGAATGCACACAAAAACTGCTGTGTCTGTCTCTGAACTTAAAGTCTGTGCCTTGAATCCTCCCACATTTTCTTACCAGTCCTGTCTGTTTTGTCTTTGATCCAAACTCCTATATGCTCCCGTATCCACTTTGCCATGACAACTTTGGGAAACACTTTGGCAGGCCTTCATTACTCTGTGCCGTCCTGCCATTATGGAAATCAACCGTCTACCTATGGGGTGATGGCAGGTAAGAGACATACCCTCAGCTGGGTGAGCATGTTGATTTTGGTCAATTTTCCTTTAGAGGGACTGATTCAAGACAGTTGCTTAAAGAAGACAGGACCTGGGGTTAAGGCACTAGAAAAGGGGCTAGGTTGTTAGGGGTCCGTGCCCAGAGTTTCTCCAAACTTCTGCATCTCTCAGCAAATCACCCTGTATCTTATTTCTCTCTACATAACTGGGACAGCGCTGCTCTTTTTGCTCACCTATGCCCACTTTCCGTGGTGCTCATCACTTTTTGAGGGACCAGGAGTGATGTAGCTGATATATGAGTGTATTACCAGTGTACTACCCGGGGTGATGGAGCCCTGACTGGAGCTATGATATGAAATGGTGGCATGATGGAAGGATAGCTGAATTCAGCAGGCAAGATTGTATAGATGATTGGGGATTTTTACACTCAAGAATGTATGCTAGGAGTTACACTCAAGAATGTATGCTAGGAGTTGCACTCAAGAATGTATGCTAGGAGAGCATCCTGCTCTGTTTTCCCTGTCTCAGGCTGAGTAAGAAAGAGGAACTGTTATTCTACGCAAGTTGAAGCAGCAGTGAATGAGATAATGCAATAAACCAAATTAACACAACTCCTAGGAAAATCAAGCTCAGCATTTTATTTCACTTAGGATGAAGGAAATATTACAGTAAGTCAGCATAGATGAATAAATCTGCATAGGGAATTTTACGGATGGTGAGTAAGCTTCCTTCCCTGGGTGCAAATGTCCAAATGCTCGTATTTCATTGTCATGTATCTATTGCAAACATTCCTGACATTGTTTAGATCCCCAGGAAAAGTCCATAGGTATTAAACAAAAGGTATTGTTCAGACGTTCATTTCGTTTCATTCCAAAATAAATGCACTGTCATTTTTCTTTCTTTTTTTACCCTTACTCCTTATTTTAGGCATCAAGCCTGCAACTCCAGAGATGCTATCAGCAAGTCTCTCCCAGAGTCGCATCTTGCAGACCTGCACTATGCCACATCCCAATGTGGTAAATGGTGTCAGCACCTTGCAAAGCAAGTCCTTCTCTTTTCTTTCAGTCTTTTCCTTTATTTTTTTGAGAAAATGTTTTGTGGTTATCCTGTGTGAAGCATATAAAGTATTCCTATGGGGTTAGAACCTCCAACATGGACAAGAGCAATTGGAGCAGTGAAGACAAGAAAAGAAAATAGAGGAAGGGGTGGGAGGTTAATGAAGTTCTGAGTTCTGCTACAAAGTTTTGTGTAATTTAGAAAATTGGGAAGGATGTCCTCAGAACTTGGAATTTACTGGCTGCTCCAGATACACTGAAGGGTGTTAACATTTCTCCAATTATTTTTTTTTCCCCTTCAAGTCAGAGACTCTTTAGCTCTATGTACAATATCTAGCAAAAAAACAGCCTTTGCTCTTAACTGAATCTCCTTGTTAATTCTGACATTTTTGAACAAAAAGTAGCATGAGATAGTTTTGTTTTGTCCTCGAGCAATTTCTTTTTAAGCCAGAATAATCATTCTGAATTTGTTCTGGGGTTTGATTTGTTTTTTCTTTGAGCTTGTACCTGTGTATTTACTCAAATTTTATGCTGAAGCTAAACCAAGATAGTATCTTGTCTGAGCATCAAATCGTGTTTACATGTGAATGTTATTTGTAACAGAAAATAGAGAGTGGCACATTTTAGGTGACTCAAAATGACATAGATCCATCAATCTTTTTGTGCCACTTCATTCCAGCTGCAGCCCTGGATTGTTATTTAAGTTTGTACCATTAAGTATCTCATTTAAGTGCACCACAGTTTGCTAAGAAATAGGATGGCTGTGGCCTGTGAAAGTGGCTGCTGGTTGGTTTTCATGTATTGGGACAAGAGAGAGACCGTATCTCCTATCCTCACTCTTGGGTACTTCCACATATGTTATATAATAAATATTACAGGCATGGATTACAAGATGATGAAGGCATGTTTCTATTGTGTAGCAGTAGGGAATAACTGTACTGAGTTTTCTTTTTGGTGTTGCTCAGGTAGCCTGACCCCTTGCCTTTATAAATTCCCGGAGCACGCCCTGAGCGCCAGCTCCTGTGCCCTGGGCCATGGCTTCACGCCCATGCACCAGTCCCTCCTCACAGACGATCCCACCGCCTCAGACTTCAAGCAGGAGTTCCGCAGAAAAACCAAGTCTGTCGAAGAGCCCGTTGACATGGACTCCCCTGAAATCAGGGAACTGGAGAAATTTGCTAACGAATTTAAGCTGCGGAGAATTAAGCTGGGTATGTGATTATAGCTGCAAAAAAAAGGCTGAAAAATTCTGAAAGTGAAAGCCCCATTATTTCCAAATGTTTTATGGTCTAGCATTTTCTAATCATAACTCTAATCCTGCTTCGCACTGCCAGACTTTCTCCATTCCTAGAAGACTTCCACAGAATTAATGAACTACAGCTTTTTGCCTCTTAGTACACAGAAAGAGACTCTAAATTTTCCTGCCCTTAAATTATTTGTCTTAAGTGCAGAGAAAATTACTGCTGTTCATTAAATTACATGCGGTAGCAGGTGCATTATTTTGCACGGCCCCAGATTTTCTGCAACTTAGGACAGCACATGCTCTAACCTCTCATATCTGTCCTCTTCCCCATGAAGTGTTTCACCTGATGGTGCAGTGTCATTTTGGTATACAAGATGGGTGACATCCATGGCAAATCTTTCATATCAGTGGGAAGCTTCTCCTCCTGTTTTGTTTTCTTGTGCCAAGACACAGGTACAGAGCAACTGATACCTTTGTTGCTGTCTGGTAACTACTGGGGCTGATGGGAGGTGGATTGCATTAGAGGGTCTCCGGTGAGGTGCTTGTCTTCTGCTGGACAATCTTAGCTGCGACAAAGGTGGACTGAGCCCTGTCTTTCTCACCTGTAGGGGATAGAGGTACATTGCAAAGTCAAAGCCTGTCTCACCCTTGTATGAACTGTGCCATAGAAAAATAACATCCAGCGCTGCAGATTCAACCCACTTACAGATGTTGGGTACTCTGAATAAAGAGTTGCAATTTTTACATTATCACTTATAGCACCACATTATATCGTTACAAAATAGGGCATCCTTCTAGCTTTATAAATGTAAAAAAATTATAAGGTTATTACAGGCATATATGCATTATCTCAACAGCTAGAAAGCTACTGTGTTCCATTTGGAGTGTAAAAATAAGGACTGAAACAAAAATTTAGGATTTAAAATAGTATTTGCAACTTGGTCAGTTTTGCTGTATATCATGTATTTAATGTCAGCCATACCATTGGAAAAGTTTGCTAGGCCCCACGCTGTTAAGCACTGTAATTATTAATGCATCTTCATCCTGAATTTGTGAGGGAACAAAAACTTCCTCTGATGCAAACAAATGACACAGAGCTTGTAAGACGGGGCTTAATGCTCTGACGGGAAAAATGCAGTTTACACAGGAAAACTAATCTGAGGGTGAGCTTTACAAGGGAAGACAGAGTTAATATGGGCTGTGGGTCTGAGGCTGAGACACACAGAGTTAGTGCAATCAAACTGGAGGTAAAAAGCTGCCTCATGAGACATTCAGCATCTAAAGAGATCCTGCCTGTTCCAGCGCAGAGGCAGAAAGGGAAGGTGATGAGCCAAACCCCTGAACATGGTGAGTACGTATTCAGAGCACTGAGCAGGGAGCTGCAGCTACAAAGTCAGTGTCTGGATGGAAACCGCAGCATTTCTCTGGTCGCTCAGTTTTTGCAACAAATAACAGGAGACCAGCGGTGCCACCAGGGATTAGTTTATTGACATTGCACCATCTATAGAAAGAAAGATATAGGGTGTCTGGATCCTTCTCAAATGCCGAATCTCAGAGTGTGAAACTCCACTAAATCAGTGTAAAACTCTGCTGAAACCAACAGGAGACTGAACACATCTCTGAGGTGAGCTCGGAGTCAGCCACGCAGACCTCTGCAGAAAGCCCATCCCAAAGACACTGCAGGCACACCCTATTCATAAGAGTTGGCAGTGAAGGGCTAAGCATCTCAAGGAAAGTAATCATTTCTAGAAAGCTCCAAAGTGACTTTCTTCTCTTAATTTTTGACAGGTTATACACAAACCAATGTCGGAGAAGCGCTGGCTGCTGTGCATGGCTCTGAATTCAGCCAAACTACTATTTGCCGGTTTGAAAACTTGCAGCTGAGTTTCAAGAACGCATGCAAACTGAAATCGATACTGTCCAAGTGGCTGGAGGAAGCAGAACAAGTAGGAGGTAGAGCACTGAGATCTTCTAAATGTTGATTTGCATTTAAACCAGAATCCTATATATATGTTGAAGGACTAATACATGTCTTCCCTAGACTAAAGTTCTTGTTTTACCAGCTTTAAATACTAAGGTGTGCTTATATTATTTTGTTTTTTTTTGGGGGGGGAGGGGATGGAGGAGTTGGGTGAGCAAGAAGGGGCATGAAATGCATGGAGGAGGGTACAGAATAGCAGAAACCTCTCTTGGAATTAATTTCTTTCAGTCCCATCCCAGCAAACTAGCTGTCCTCCTGTAGCATAGGTCAGAGCTGTTACTAGGATCTGCAGGACAGCCCATTCAGCAGTTTATGGGGGTTCTTCACTAGCAAAGGACTCTTCCAACCTCTGGCATATGAGATGTGGCCATGGAGGAAAGGATTTGAGTTCAACTGAGGTAGTGGTCTTTAAACCCTGAAGAAGAACAGCACAGCACAGAGGGTTTTGATGTGATCTTTTTGATGCTAGAGGATTCCCGTCCTTTTGCCCAGTTACTTTCCAGTTGCAGGAAGAGTCACTGGGCAAAGTGTACTTCAGAACAGGTTGGTTGATTTAAAGGAAATGGGTTGCCTTAAAGAACGGCCTTTTCAGCTGGATGAATTACGATGCTGGGAAGCAGTATGCCTGGAGGTGACAGCAAAAGCCAGGGCTACGACTGTGCAGCACTCAGCTAGCATGGGAAGAAAGAGAAGGTGATCTTAATGCTACCTTTTGGATTTGCCATTGTATTCACTAGTAGGAAATGCTGTTAAACAGCTGCTTCTGCCACACACTTCAGTTTCTTTTGAACCAAATGCAGAAAGCTTCCTTTCCCTGTAACTGCACTAGAAAGCGGAGGCTCTCCTAATGTGGCTGGCACATTGCAAGAATTGCTTGTGCGGGGGTTGTGATGAGTACCTGACCACCTGAGCAGTGTTGCAGGCTTGAGCTGCAAAGTAAGATCATGTGTGCAGGCCTCTGAGAAGCAAGGGGGTGCTTGTCTGTCAGAAAGTGGTGTGGAAGAGGCAGATGAATAAATGGGGTTGGGGGCCGAGGCTGTTTTTCTGAAGAAAGAGGGTGTGGTAGCCAAGGGGGATGGAAATGGACTCCATCTCCCTAGACTGTACACCGCAGGGTAGGAGGAAGAAGATTTGTCAAAGGAGGGGGCTGAAGTGCAGCTCTGCAGGTACATAGGCACAGAGCCAGTGCTGTCTGCAGCTTTACTGGTGGCACACCATTTTTGCTTATAACCATTTATAGCTGGAGGTAAAACAATGACCAACCATCTTAAAGAAAGAAGTGCTCCTATGTATGGTGCTGCTCTTATTCAGTGGCATTATCTGTTATGCTTTCTTCTGTCTTCAAAGAAGGGAACTTTTTTTTCTGGAGATTGTGGTTGTTTTCCATTCTCTGTGGAACATAACTGCCAGGTTTGGTTTTGTTTTTAATACAGCTTTATACAATGAAAAAGTTGGGGTGAATGAGCGGAAGAGGAAGCGAAGAACCACTATTAGGTAATAAATACTTCGGGCGTTACATGTTAGAAACCACTTTGGCTAAGATGCTTCTTTTTTGGGGTTCAAAATCAAAGTGTTCTTTTCTATTAATTAATCTCTATAGCTAGTGTTTCAAAATGTTTCACTATTTTGAAACATTCCAGTGACAAGTAACAGCATAACCCTCCAAAACCCAATTTGCTCCAAATATACTTTTCCCTATTCAAGACTTTTTTTCAACATATGACAGTACACTTCAATACGAAAATATATTTTATTCCACTTCTGCCCAAATTTTATGATTTATATATAGTGAATAAGGTATCAGAGCACCCTTGCTTTCATTTTGGTAGGTTCTACATTATACCAAAATAAATTGTGTTATTTTGCCAGAGAATTGAGTTCTGGGAAGTGGGCAAGCACTTTTACATGTAATATTTCACCCCTGTCCCTATCCTCTGTCACTGGATTCTTTGATGTTCCCAAAGAAACACTTTAATGACCTAAGGGGAAAAAAGGGGAGGTGTTATGGGAACTTCCTTCACCTGTTTCTCACATCTCTGCTGGCCAACATCTACCATCTATCTAGCCTCAACTCCATATGGAAATCAAGTAGGCTGGTAAATCATATTACAAAAACAATTACCGTAGGCAAAATGAGAACATGGGGTATTTCCTTCTCCTTTAGATATCCCAGGCTCTTATAACGTTTGGTGAAGAATTATTCACTCAGGGGGGCGCCAAGGAGTGATAATATTCTTCTACATTAAAGGATTTTGGCTGCCTCTGGGCACAATTCTGGTGCTGTTGGGCCCTACCTGTTACAGTGAAGTGCCAGTTCTTTGAACAGGGATCATTCCCAATGTGCAGTGCCACCTCCAGGAGATGTAGGCTGCTCTGTTGTCCCACAGCCACAACATGTTCCTTCTCTCACTTTCAACTTGAGATTTGTTTTTTGAGTCAGAGAACAGTTTAGGTTAGAAGGGACCTTTAAAGGTCATCTAGTCCAACCCCCCTGCAGTGAGCAGGGACATCTTCCACTAGATCAGGTTGCTCAGAGCCCCATCCATTATGACCTTGAATGTTTCCATCTACCACCTCTCTGGGCAACTTGTTCCAGTGTTTCACTACCCTCATTGTAAAACAATTCTTCCTTGTATCTAGTCTAAATCTACCCTCTTTTAGTTTAAAGCCATTAACCCTTGTCCTATTGCAGCAGGCCCTACTAAAAAGTTTGTCCCTATCTTTCTTATAAGCCCCCATTAAGTGCTGAAACACTGCTATAAGGTCTCCTCAGAGCCTTCTCTTCTTCAGGCTGAACAATGCCAACTCTCTCAGCCTTTCTTCATAGGAGATATGTTCCAGCCCTCTGATCATTTTTGTGGTCCTCCTTTGGACCCACTCCAACAGGCCCATGTCACTCTTGTGCCGAGGGCTTGTGGTGGTTTGACCCTGGCTGGATGCCAGGGGCCCACCAAAGCCTCTCTATCACTCACCTCTTTAACTGGACAGAGTAAAGTAAATCAAAGGGCTCGTGGGTTGAGATAAGGACTGGGAGAGATCATTTATCAGTTACCATCATGGGCAAAACAGACTCAACTTGATTAATTTAATTTATTATCAATCAAAATCAGAGAAGGAGAGGAGAAAAACTGCTGAATCTTAAAACACCTTCCCCCTCCACCTCTCCCTTCTTCCTGGGCTCGACTTCACTCCCAGTTTTCTCTACCTACTATCCCCCAGCAGTGCAGGGGGATGGAAATGGGAGTTGAGGTCAGCTTATCACACATTGTCTCTGCCGCTTCTTCTTCCTAGGGAGAGGACTCTTCCCCTGCTCATGCATGGGGTCCCTCTCATGGGAGACAGTCCTCCACAAACTTCTCCAATGTGATTCCTTCCCACGGGATCACAGTTCTTCACAAACTGCTCCAGCATGGGTCCATCCCTTCCACGGGGTGCAGTCCCTCAGGAGCAGACTGCTCCAGTGTGCGTCCTCTGTGGGGTCACAGGTCCTGCCAGCAAACTTGCCTCGGTGTGGGCTCTTCCCCCATGGGTCCACAGTGTCTTGCCAGGAACCTGATCTGGCGCAGGCTTCCCATGGGATCACAGCCTCCTTCCTTTGAGCATCCCCCCTGCTGCGGCATGGGGTCCTCCATGGGCTAGAGGTGGATATCTGCTCTGGCGTGGGCCTCCATGGGCTGCAGGGGGACAGCCTGCCTCACCATGGTCTTCACCACGGGCTGCAGGGGAATCTCTGCTCCAGTGCCTGGAGCACCTACTCCCCCTCCTTTACTGACCTTGGATTCTGCGGGGCTGTTTTCTCTCACATCCTCTCACTTATCTTCTCTCTCCCACTACTGAGCCACAGCCAATTTTTTGCCTTCTTAAATACGTTATCACAGAGGCGCTTCTACTGCTGCTGATTGGTTTGGCCTTGGCCAGCGGCGGACACAGGGAAAACTTCTAGCAGCTTCTCACAGAAGCCACCTCTGTAGCCCCCCCGCTACCAAGACCTTGCTACACAAACCCAATACAGGGCTTCAGAACTGGATGCAGTGCTCCAGGTGGGGTCACACCAGAGCAGAGTAGAGGGGCAGAATCACCTCCCTTCAGCTGCTGGACGCACTGCTTTTGATGCACCCTGGGATACAGTTGGCTTTCTGGGCTGCAAGTGCACATTGTTGGCTCATGTCCAGTCACTCCATCATAGAAGCCACGAGGTTGGTCAGGCAGGACTTGCCCTTGGTGAAGCCATGCTGGCTGTCTTGAATCATCTCCCTGTCCTCCATGTGCTTTAGCATAGCTTCTAGGAGGATCTGTTCCATGATCTTCCCAGGCACAGAGGTGAGGCTGGCAGGTTGGTAGTTCCCAGGGTCCTCCTTTCTACCCTTTTAAAAAATGGTTGCACTGTTTCCCTTTTTCCAGTCAGCAGGCACTTTACCTGACTGCCATGACTTTTCAAATATCATGGAGAGTGGCTCGGCAACTACATTGGCCAATTCCCTCAAGACTCTGGGAGTCATATAGTCTTTGATATAAGGAATAAAATGAAGATGTGGTTTCTCTCTGACTTTTGAATTAAGTATTCCTCTGAGGAGATGCTTCTCAGTTAGGAGCAAATTTGGGACAGGAGATATTTCATAGCTCATTTGCTCATTACAGAACCTCACAAGAGATGAAGCTTTACTCTTGGGAGGCCAGTTTCTCCTCTCAGCTTCTCTAGAAGCCAGTAAGGACTTGAGCAGCAGTGCCAAGACCTTGCCCAGTTCATGCAGTATGGCCTGCATGAGAGCTGTGAGTTGGGAGCATCTCTGTCCCAGGTGTTTTCCCCTGGTTAGAGGAACCCACTGAAGACTTCATCTGATATTGTGGGGTTTAGTGTTGGTTTTTAACAGCTATTGAGAAAATCAGTCCTCATATTAAGCATTTTTTAATTATTCCTGCTTTTACATCTAACCCCAGTGCAGTGGGGTTGTCAAGGGCACAGATAATTGATGGGATGTTCAGGACCAAATCCCATATAGAAAGAAAATATTAATTGTTCCTTTGAAGGTGTATAGGACCTCAGTTTGGAGACCTGAAACTAATCAAGGAGATGGACTATCTGAACTGCAGCCTTACCCTTAGCAATCCTTAATGGACATTTAGAGGCAAACTGGATGTAAAACAAAAGAAGTCCCACAAACTAAATTAGGTTAGTCATATCCTGAGCAAAAACTACTTAATTTGAATTTGTGGAAGCTATTTTATTTTATACTTTGATCAAAGCCTAAGAAGCTGTTAGTCAAAAAGAATGCTGTTTCTATATTTCTGTGTGTGCAGAACACCATGCTATTAACGAGGTAGTTTTGGTACCATTAATAAATATTGCAAAATTGACCTGTAAATGAAAGACCAACAACATATGACAGACGATGTAATGAAGGAACCAGAACTCCAGCAGATACGTTGTGTATTTCTGTAACAGAAATACCTGCACCTCATTTCCAGGGCATGAAGTGCCCTCTTGTGTCCAAAGAAATGACAGCTACCGCTGAAGCCGGTTCTGGATGCGCCCTGGCGGCACACAAGCATGTCACAGATATTCCGTGCTTGCTGAGAATATGTAACACAAATGGGAAGCTAATTCTATCTGACAATAAAAGACAGTAGTCTTAACTTATTTTGTTTATTGAACCCCTCAACTTTGGTCACTGCTGACTCTGAGGAATAGACTGAGACAGACTTTTAGAAAGTGTGATGACTGCTAAACCAGCTTGCCATAATCTCTGTGATTTCTAAAAATACTCTAGAGTCGTCTCTGTAACAAAATGAGATGCAGAACTTGATACAGCATACAACATTTCCCAAATTGTAAGCGATGGAGCTCTCGCCCTTTGTAAACCCAAATGATTTGATACAACCAGGTAACTCCACTAACATGCATTTGCTGAACCTCTACGACCCTGCTGTGACTGGGGCAGAATGGGCAGTCAGGCTTGTTCCAATTCCTGTGATCCCATTCATGTCTAGCTAGTAGCTCTATCTCCTAGAGAACATCAAGAAGCATAACTATTTCATGGTTACCACTGAAATTGCACCAAACTTGATGCTAGTTTTGCCTTAATTTCTCTGTGCTGAAATTCGGCATGATGTGATGCTGTTCATGTCAGCAAAGAGCTACAGGATAAGCTCTGTGGGTTTCCCTTACGTAGAAAAAGAGTAAAACAAACCAGGTCACTACCTTCAGTGCTCTTACCTGACCCTTCTCCTGAACTAGTGGTGAAAGCCTGAATGTGTCAGACAAGTTTTTAAAAGTGAAATTTTATCCTTTTATCCAGTATCGCTGCCAAAGAAGCCCTAGAGAGGCACTTCGGAGAACAAAGTAAGCCTTCTTCACAGGAAATTATGAGGATGGCTGAGGGGCTCAATCTTGAGAAAGAAGTTGTGAGAGTTTGGTTTTGCAACAGAAGACAAAGGGAAAAAAGAGTGAAGACAAGTTTACATCAGAACGCCTTTAGTTCTATTATCAAGGAGCATCACGAATGCCGGTAAAGTTTTTCCATGTCTAGATCTGGATTTCTGTTTTGCTTTTTTGTAAATACTGTAAATACTATGTTGTTTAAAAAAAAAAAAAAATCAGTAAACCACTTGTTTCTCTTACAAGCTAGCCAGCTTCAGATGTAGTGTGTTGTGGAAAACACGATTTTAATGTAAAAGGTTGGAAACAAATTAAATGCTTCTGCCTATATTTAAAGAGTTGGAGGTCTCTGCTTAACTGCAAGGAACCTATTATGCATTATTCAACCAGAAATGCTTTCCAAGTTGCCCAAGTGCTTGCAGTTTCCCTGTGCTGTGCCTTTCTTGCATCTGCGGTACATTTAATGATTAATGGAGAACCCCATGTAGGTAGCCTAAACATCAGGAAACAAAGCCTTTGCATTGTACGTGAAGAAAGCTTACAAAGCTTGGTTTCAGCAGCTATAGTACTGAAAGTACCTTGCCTCTGCGTGTCCTTGCATGTGCTCTACTGCCCACCCCCCTCCATGCTAACTGTGCTAACCTGTGTGAGATTGTAAACCATGCGGCACATGGCAGGGCCCTCTCTCCAGCAGCAAACACTGAGCATCAGTGGCAAATTAGAACTTCAAAGACGACAAGGTGAATGAGCAACCTTAAACAAGCAGTGGCGATGCTGCTGAGTATCTAGTTTTGGCCAAGGATGCAATATATCCATGGGATCCTGCGGGACTGCCACTGGATCCGAGAGCCAGGTAGAAGAATGCTAGCTGAAGACCCGCCTTCCCAAAGGATGGCTCAAACTCAGCCACCCACTCACCACAGCTGTACACCTCTGAGTGAACCATTTCAGGTACATTCCTTGTGTAAATTCAGGACAAAGCCATTAGAAATGTGCCGTAATTGCTGTCATTATTTGCGGCAGACTGAGCTTACCAGCACAGAGGTGTCAGCACTGTTCCTACGAAGTGCTCTAAGTGACCTTTTTTTATGCTTGTTATCAAAGTAATTCTTGCTAATTTATTATATGCCTTAAATTTGGATTTAGATAGGCTCAGCTATAAAAATTGGGATACAATTTACCTTAAGACTTTGTGACTTGAGGGGGAAAAATAGAGAATGATCAGGGGTTTTATTACTTTGGGCTTTCTCTGCCTTGTATCTTTTTCTGATCCAACCCATGTGTGGACATACTTACACCAGAGATAGATAGTGTATTAAGCTAAAAAAAAAGAAGGCCCTTGTGCTCTGAAGTAAGTATCCACACAAAGCATTTACTGCACTGCACATTCCAGTCTCTTATAGCCCGCTAATTCAAAGTAATCCCTTATTTGTCATCCTCTAGCCTGGAGAGATAGTTGGGAAAAAAAAAAAACGGGTGCCAGAGCTCCACCTATCAGGAAGCCATGCACTGAGCAACTCAATTAATGACTGTAGTACTCACCAGGGATAGATTATCCAGCCACCTCATCAGCCTTGCTCATTGTTATTAGACTAGCCCATTACCGTATGGGTATTTTTGACTGTATTCTCAGGACTGAAATTAATTGAGTACACGCAAGTAGTAACAGCCAGATGCACTTTATTTTTCCATAAAACAGGACCTGATGATTTAGAAAATGTCTAGATAATAGGCCCACAGAAAGCAAAGGGAGTTTAATGTTCAAGACCACTTAGAAGCAGTGTGTACAAGTTAAGTGCTCTGTCTCTAGTGTACATTACATTAAATTATATCTGATACCTATTACAGTGACCATAGGCATATTCAGCTATGGAAATGAGGCTCCTAGATTTAAAAAAAATACATTTTTATGGATGAATGCCTTTGCTATAACCCCTTAATTTAGAAGAAACCTTCAGTTTAATAATTTGAAGGGGAGAAACTGTGCTATGTACTCTCTTTGGGTTGTTCTCATCGCTAGCATAGCTCCCCCACTACAGCAGAGAAAGACCAAGCCTTAGCCCTTATCCACCACATGTGTATTGACAAATCATGAGCTGTCCAAAAGGATGAAAGATAAATACAGCTGGGAAGATTAGCCCTCAGTGAAGGTGGTGGCATGCATTTCCTGTTCTGTGACCTAATGTTATGTATGTTGAAACTATCAATATATATATCAAATTTATTTATATTCTAAGTTATTTTCTTAATTATAAAGAGTTCCTAGAAATGCTGTAAGCCTGTACTTCCCACCCACCCCCACCCAATAAAGTATTCTTATACATTTGGTATCCCAGGTAATGGTTTGTGGTTCTGTTTTGGTAATGCTTTACTTTTTCAGCTATGTATCATGCTGACGTGCTTATTCATTTTAGCATGCTGTAATATTTAATTTGAGAGCAGACTTACCATAACTTTGCGATTTCTGGTCTTACAAGTGAAGGCTAATTGCAGAAGCATAGCAAAATAAAATGAAAAGCGACATATAATGCCATGTTCTTGCAAAAGAATGACAAAAGGGTAAGTGGAGGAAGCAGCCATTTCTTAAACACATCTAGCTGTTGCCGCAGACATCACTGACAAATTAGAGCAGAATTGTTTAAAGAAAAAAAGCTGGATGAAATCAATTTAATGCGCTGCAGCTGCAGCCATTAGACTTGGAGAAAGTGGCAATTCATGTTTTTTTCCTGTAGGAACAACTTACTTACTGGGTAATTGCCATCAATCACTCTTGATTGGGGAAAACCCCCTAGAGAAGACTCCTGAGGGGTAGCTTTATAAACCTGCAAATGAGAGTTTAGTTGGCCATTTGGCTAGTGTGGGCTGCACTATTTTCCTTTTGAGATGTTTGTGGGGTTTTTTCTTGCTCTTATTTTTCCCATGATAACTTTAGGGAGGGTGTTAAAAGTACAATAGAGGACAAACCAAGACATTATGATAAGGTGTAAGTCTGTGGTTCCTCTGTCTCCGAAGTACTGTACAGCACTCTGCACCCCTCATCTGAAGGATGCAACAGACCCGATGCAGGCAAAGCTGATGATCAAAGGTAAGATGAGTAACCCTTCAAGCTACCATCTCTCTTCTAGATTTAATGTATGTGCTACAGAGATCTACTGAATTATGAGCTGTAGTGAAAGGCTGGATGGAGGCAGGCTGTTCACCATCTCGCCTAATTAAGAACTGGGAGTAAAGTTGTGAAGCTGGAAAGAAACTTAAGAAAAAAACAAAAGTGGTGGTTCTTAATGCAGCGGGGATTAGATCTGTGGGACGAGTCTACTAAAAAATGTCAGTGCCAGAAGTTTATTTACATGGACACATTCACAGGTGAGAAAGCCACTCAAAGCTGTTGCATATAGAAGAACTTACATATGGCTCTGGAAATGCTCTAAATTGAAAATGGGAGCTGGAAGAGTGTTAGGGGAGGAAGCATCATCTACGTTTATCTTGATCTCATATTTTCCTGCTAATTGCTTATGGAGTAGGATTTTGGGTGAGATGGACCTCAGTCTGCCCCAACAGAACCATCCTTCGGTGCATGCACAGTTGCGTCGTTGTTCTTGGACAGAGGACTTTCCGATTCAGTTGCTATTAAGGTGTCAGAAAGGAGTTTAAGGACTGAGTAGGGGTTTTTTTTTTAGTCTGCTAAGAGTGATTTAAAAGAAATTAGTTTCCAAGCAGGTGATGCAATTTTGTTATAAGACAGCGACAACTAATAGTTGAAATAAATACAAGCAAGCCTGCAAACCTACAACACTTATCACTCTCCTACTGAAAGATTTTATACAGATTAGAGCTGCAGGATTTAAAAGATAAGTGTTAACAGAAAGACTGGATAGATATTGGCAGTAGCCCTAGTTCAGCAGTCTTACTGACACCAAAAAGCAATGCCTCCATTACTGTTTGTCGAAGACCCCATAGACAGAGCAAAGAATGCATAATAGATTTATGCCCAATTTTGACAGTCCTTAAAAGGATAAGGTGCACTTCATTCAGAAAGGACACGAGCCTTAATACAATCAATCAATACATTTCATACCTAACTAATTTCATATTACAGTTTCTTTCAATGCCTAAGAGCAGTACTTGGACACCCAGTTACAGACAGAAGGGAATGCAAACTTAATCAATTCTTTACCAAATGTTGAGTTTAAGTCAAAGGCCCATAAGCAACTACAACAAGTACTCTGCTGCTTTATAGCTCAGGTCAAAGGAAAAGTTATCAGAGCTAACAGGAGTCCAAAGAAAGCCCGCTAAGAGACAGACGTGTAAGAGTAATCCTACAGATGACAAAATCATTGTGGAATAAAAAGCCTTTTATTAGATTTTTACAAAATAACCTGTAAAAAAAAAAAAGACTATTCACCTCATATCAGATATATGCAATATATAAACTTACACATTCCTACCCACTACCTCACAGATTCATAGTTTGTCCATTACTTCCTTCAAAAAGAAAGAACACCTCCACTTCTATGCCAAAAACCAGATGAAGGCTCACCTGTTTTTTCTTTCTCCGCTGACTTCAACCCTAAAAAGCAGATGGTGTGACAACAGTAGATTCAGAGAGGTTCCAGTCTCCTGCTACGCTTTCTGTAGCAGTGAAGTCTCTTTATGAAGTTTGTCCCCTCACAGTTATCCTGGTCTCACTCTTGGGAGGTATTTTGCTTTTCTCTTTTTCAAGGCAAGATGATTTTGTTGTTTCCGTTCAATGAATGGCCCCACTAAATCAGCACAACTGAGGGGCAAATAATCTCCAGCAGAGTAAGGGCTGAGGAACTTCACGCCATCTGGGAAGTCATAACTGGGAACTGCATTCTCAGACTTTGTCATCTCTTTGAACTGTCAACAGTTCTTACTTTGTTAGCCCAGTGCATTCCACTTCAAGCTAGAATCATGCTGATGCAGTTCAGAGACCATAGAAAAACCTTCACGGAACCAGAACACTTTTATTATAGTGTTTAGACAAGTAATCATCATGTATCATTCAAAATTGTTCTCAAAACTAAAATTTAGATTTAGCTTATCAATGTGATCAATTGAATCTTAGTAAACAATACAATTATGCACAGTTATCTTCCATTAAGAAATACTGTAA